TTAATTAAGAATTGAGTTAGGGAAGATAAATGTTAAAAACATCATTTTTATCCTCATTTTATTGCAATATTACGATATAAAAATATATAAATAACTCTATAAAATAAAAAGTAGAGAAAATTTTAATTTTTTACCAAACATGCCCTTAATACTAGTATATTATAAACTCACACTCTATAAATCTATAGAATGAATTAAAGTTCAAGCCTAATGAAGTTATTCTCAAAATATAAAATGCTAACATCCAACTTAAAATGTTATTTATTTGATTTGAGGAAAAAAAATAAATGAGAGAGAAGGGGGAAAGGGATGATTTTTTTTTAATTAATTAATTTATAACATTCATAAATAATGTAATTTGATTTGTTAAAAAATCTAATTCCTTCTCCATTTCTTTTAAATTAAACATAACATTAAGATTCACCTACTTTATTCCCCTCTCAGGAAACCATCTTCCATTGGTGGAGGTACTGCCCATTTAACCTTCCAATCACATTTATCAACAAGTCCAAAAGCAATTCAAATGTTATTAGATTGTGATTTGGTGAATTTTTTAACAAAGACTACATACTCTTACCGATTTTACTTTATTTTTCTATTGAATTTCATCAGAGAATTTAGTAACAAGAAATCATTTACCTAAATAAAATTTTAGTTTTAATCCATTGGAATTTTGGGATTTAGAAATGAAAACTGAAGAGAGAAAAAAGCTATGGGGATGATTACAGAGGGGGAAGAACAATGGAAGAGAAAGGGAATTGAACGTGGAAAAGGGAAATCCAAGAAATAAGGGAGAGAGAATCAACAAAATCAATTAGAAAAAATTCTTAATTTAGTTGTAACTTTATAAGCATAAAAGAGAGGTAAGAAAGGTTATTGTGAGAGTTTTCCTTTCATCGATTGAATAACTCAATTTTTTTTCTTTTGGAAAAAATTAAAACAAAAATCTTTTTACTTTAAAATTCCTCAAATCAAAACCCTTTTATTTTAAATTCATTAACCTTACGTATATATGAGAAAAGTTCTCAATTTTTCTTGGTAAAAGATTTTACAGAAAAGAAAAATGTTGTCAAGTAAAAGATGATCGTGGTTTACACGAGTACCGCAGTAGATTGAGAGTTGAGATCATGAAACAAGGAGGAAGCAAGTTTGTAATTAACCTTTGTGAGTTGTGACTTGAAATCACGAAATGTTAAAGTGCGTTTAAGTTTTTGGAAGTTGCCAGTATAAGGTTCTGAAACCAGTCATAAAAGTTTTGGGACCTAAAAGCATATCACGCAATTTAAGCTTGGAAAGTTTTAGAACTATTAACAAAGTACTCTAACTTATTGATTTTCAATACAAACAATAAAAGAGACAATGAGTAAAAATGTTCCAGAATATTTCAGAAGGTTTCGGAACCTGGAACAAGAATCCATTATTGATGCAGTGTGCTTTTGAACTTTATTTTATTTTATTTTAATTATCAAATTGAAAAAAAGTATTTTATAATTTTAGATTATAAAATATTAATTTTTAAATAAAAAATTTTTAATTGTTAAATTTTTATTTTTTCCCTTAAAAAAACTCTTAATATTAAAAGCTCTTATTTCATCCTAAAATTTTTATTTTACCATTTAAAACATTTTAAAATGTTAAACAGTAAACTCTTATCAAATTACCTTTTTGTACTCTTATAAATTATAAGAGTACTTTTTGTGGCTATAACCTTTAAATCCATCATCAAATATGGATAAGGATAAATTTATTTTTAAAAAAACATAAAAATAAATTATTTTTTAAAATTATAAATTAAAATAAATTATTTATTTTTAATATATGATATCAATTTTTTATTAAAAATATTTATGTAATAAATAAAATTCTAACATCACATAATAAAAAATAAATTATTTATTTTAATTTATAATTTAAAAAATTATTTATCCCTCTTTTAAAAAAAATAACCTGTCTAAATGTGAATTTGGAAATTCTACCTTTTTAATGGACGTGAGTGAAAAGAAAAAACAAGATGATCCTTTGGAATCCAAGAGATTTTTCTAGGGTAAAGTGAGACTGAATTTAAATGGGATTCCCTTTGGAATTAGATCAAGTGATTTGTTTCGCACGATCAGGACAAAAGTGACCTGTCACTTGTCCTTTCAAGAGAATAATTTACGTTTGAATTTTCAAGATAATTTCCTCTCTCTTTCATACAATATTAAAATTATTTGTAATTTTATTTTTTTTTTTAAATTTAGGTAGAGTGATGTAATCTGATTTTTTTGAACATGAGTGATTTAAGCTGTTTAAATTTTTTATTATTGCTTGATTTCATGCTCTTAACGTTAGATATCAGATATTATGATAGTAGACAGCATATATCACGTGGGAGCTTGAACTTTCTAGGTTAAATCTCTATTTTGGTCCTTGAAGTACTGTACTGACTTTCAATTTGGTCTTTGAATTAAAGAAATTCTTGATTTAGTCCCTAAACTATTGTACGGACCCCCAATTTAGTCCCCACTGTTTATAGTTTGGCTTAAGTTGGTCCTTAAACTATTGTACGAACCCCCAATTTGGTCCTTACTGTTTACTATTTCACCCCATTTTGGTCTATGAGCTATTATTTAACAGAAAGACTAAGTTGGCACTAAATTGTAAACAGTAGAGACCAAATGGAGATTCATATAATAGTTTAGGGACTAACTTGGGGTCCATATAATAGTTTAGGGACCAACTTAGGGGTCCGTACAATAGTTTAAGGATCAAATTAAGGATTTCTTTAGTTCAGGGACCAAATAGGGGTCTGTATAATAGTTCAGGGACCAAAATAGGGGTTTAACCAACTTTTTACACAGATTACAAAGATTATTGCCTCGGCCGTACCCAAAATTCTCTGCATCATTCTTTCAAACTACTTAAGTATTCGTGGGGCAGGTGGCACGGCTAAAACGCACCACTCCTCCAATTCTCCCGTAAATTAATCCCGCCAGAACATCCCTCGCCGTCGATTCACAGGGCTCCAAAATGGCCTTCATCTCCAAACTCTGCAGAGCCTCTTCGAGCACCAAGGCCACTTTCTCCTCCACCAAGAGCGCTGTATGATTAATGTCCCCGAGAGCAAAGTCTACTGCGAGGTGAAGCCCCAGAGCCCCAATCAGAGATTTACTTCAATCGGAAATCTTAAACTCCTGGAGAAATTTGACCTTTATGATTGCCAATTTTATGTATCAATTCTTAAATCTCTTGTAAATCTTATAATATTATTATGACTCTCAATAAATTAAAAAATTAATTATTAAATATATAAAATTAATATTTTAAATAATATAATTTATAT